GGGAAAGAGCAGTGGGTCACTGAGCTGTGCACAGGGAGCTCCCGGGTCACATCTAAAGACATGAGGGACATTCCCAGCTGCTCTCATGGCCCCTCGCTGCCCTCAGCCCCAGGGGGCTCCAGCCCAGCGTTCCCAGCACCGATCCCTTCTCTCCTCCCCCAGGTGATACACAACTACGGCCACGGCGGGGTCGGGATCACCATCCACTGGGGCTGTGCCAGGGAGGCAGCCAGGCTGTTTGGGAACATCCTGCAGGAGAAGCAGCCAGGCAGCCCCCCTTGCCCATGAGCTGCCAACAGCAGCTCAGAAACCACAGCAGAGAGATGTGGGCAGCACCATCACACCTGGGGGCTGCTCAGCCCTCCTGCCAGCCCCAGCACTGGCTCATAGTGTTTCCCTCTGGCTCATAGCTGAGCTCCCTCTGCCCTGGCCTTGCACAACCTGCCTGAAGGAAGTGCTTTAAAACATGGACTAATTGCCTCTGACCAAGTGCACTCCTGTCCTGGGGACCAGTCTGCAGAGGGCAGGCAGGGCTCAGCTGAAATCTTGACCATCCTGCAGTTTATCTGTATGATGGAACAAGATCCAAAACTGAGCCAGTGCCACCTGAGGTCTTCCCTGATTGCTCTGACCCCCAGTGTGTCATTAGATTTGCAAGATTCCCCCAGGAGGCAGAAGCTCTTTAGTAGGAAGAAGCTCTGAAGCTCCCAGGGAAGTAACAACTGCTCCAAAGGCAGGTGCTTCAGCTACAATAGCTTTTCTTAAGTTCATGCCAGGACAGAGCACTGGTCTCCAGCACCTGGTTAGTGTATCTGGCAATAGGCAGCAGCAGTTGCCTAAAATGGGCTTTCCAAATGATGTTTTTAGCAACAAAAGCAACATGTCCTAGCCCTGTGTACTTGCCAGACTCTATATATAGCAGAGAGCAGCAGTTCTTGTCCCTAGAACTCCCACGGGCACTTCAGTTCTTCATGTCTCCCAGACGTGAGACGTGGCTGGAGCAGCAGCTCTGAGGAGCTGACTGGGCAGGTTGTGCATCCTGGAGGAGTGGGGAGAAGCCCCAGGAGGGGATGGCAGTGCCCACTCCATTTCGCCTACTCCAGGTTCAAGATATTAAGGACCACACCCCTGCTGTGGATCCAACTCTGATTTCAGAACATTTCCCAAGAGCCAGGCTGGACTCGCAGGGCTGTAGCAAATCATGGTGCTGCTTGTACTCACCAGCTGATTCTTCTGGTCTCAGAGGCTGTAGGAGCAGCTGTCCTGAGGTCTGACACAGCAGAAATGATGAGAGGTGTGATTTTATCTGCAGTCTGAATTTATTTTCTAGAAGGCCACCATTTAACGTGTGTGCACAATAAAGGCAATTTTCACCCATCTCCTGTGTGATGCTTTCCCTTCCTAACAGCAGGGCCTCAAATGCTTGTGCCACAGAAACTTCCCAGCAGATCCATGTCTCCCCATGTTCCATCCTGCAGGAGGAAGAGCTGTTGTTTCAGACTCTGAGCAGACAAAAGCACCTGGAATCCACCCTGTGAAATCTCCTGGTGCCCGAGTGCTGTTCCCAGCAGCCCATGGCCCACCAGGGACTCACCCCCTGCTCAGAAATGTGGGACACTCTGGGGTAAGCTCAGCTGCTCCCTCCACTTTGAGACCAGAGCAAGGGAAGGTGTTTGACACTGTTGGCAGCCACAGGTGGGACAGAGGGACGTGAGACTGAAGGTCCCTTTTGTGGCAGGTACAAAGGAGCAGGTGGGATCTCTGCTCCAGCTCCTGCTGCCTGGACCAGCACAAAGCACCATCCCCAGAAGCATCAGCACATTCTACAAGCTCAGAGTTCCCAACCACGATGGCCTGTGACACAGAACAAAGCTGGAAACACATCAAGTATCAGCAGAGTTATCCTCTGTAAGCAAACAGCAGCTCTGGCATTCTGGAAAACAGAATGAGCTTTCAAAATGCCTGAGGGTGCCAAAAAGTTCACAGAAAACACTGAGGAATGAGCATTGTTCCTGTGGTACAAACCCTCCTGTAGTTCCCAGCCCTTCCCAGAGATCAGACTCCTGATCCCAGTGGCTGTGCAGGTAAAACAAGGTGTCCCTGAACAGGCAGGGGGCACAGGCAGGGCTGTGCACTTGCTGTGTCTTAGAAAAACAAGACAGGTAAAAGAAATGTTGACACTAAGAAGTAAATAAAGAGGAGGAATCCTTCCTGCTCTGGGTGCAGACACAGGCTGAGCCCCCTCCACCCAACTCCCCTCTGACCTCCCACCACCCATTTCAGGCATTGCTAGAAATCACCTGTAGGCAAGAAGCAAAACTGTGTGGTTTTCATAGTCCAGACTGAACTAAATTCAAAAAGCAACTAAAGATCTTAAGATAATTTTTTTATATATTGAGCTGTAGTTACCTGTGAGGTTACCTGTGATGTGAGCAGTGTGACCCTTCTGTGTGCACAGAACCTCAGAGAGTCAGGGCTGCAACATGCTGAGCCCTTGCACACCCAGCTGAGCCCTTGCACACCCAGCTGAGCTCACACAGCAGCTTCTATCTCAAATCCCTCCAGACAAGAAAACATGCTACTGACCCTTGGTCAAAGTCCCACAGAACAGCTAAAAAGCCCCATTTTTTTACTGAAAAAACTATTTATTTGTTGAACATAAAATATCTAGTGTGGAACTGAACTATCCAATGTTGCATCAGGAACAGAGGAACAAAAGGAGTATTTTACAACAAGCTTGATATACACCAAGTTTTTAAACATTAAAATGTGTCCAGCTTAGAAACTGTACATTCAAACACAGGAAAACATTCAATGTTCTTTCAGCAATCATTTAGGAATCATAAATCATTCCATCAAAGCACACTTGGAGAATTATTTTTCCCACAACAGCTTTGCACATTGATATATTGGATAGTTGGCAAATCTCTGAATCCCACAGTTCTGTTTGCTCTTGATTTTAAATCAAAATTATCTCACTTTATGGTTTTAAATGAACAAGCTGTATTAACTCCTTCATCAGTGAAAAACACTCAACAGTGTGTAAAACAATCTTTGGAAGCTCATGATGGGCATCAGGGGTGGTGCCATATTCACAAAATATGACCTGTGATTATTTATGGGCTATTGTGTATCAACCCCAATGTTCTCCAGTTTTCCAGTGAACCATCTAAAATGCCCTTCCATTATTAATAACCTGCAAGGACCTGCAAAACCTGCACTTCAGTCCCCAACAGGCTCCTACTGGTTCCCATAAGGTGGGATCATCTGTGGGGGTTCCTGCCTTGTTTCTGTCCAGCTGATCCAAAGCCTGTGAATATCCATGGGAGATTCTCCCAGGCTTTAGAGAGCTTTGGATCATTATTTAGGCATCACTGTCTTGAAATCAAAGACCCAAAGTATGGACCAATTTTGGCATTTAGATCATCAGATACATTCCCAGTGCACAATTCATAACAATTGAAAAGCAAAAGTGCCTTGAATTCTATTTTTCTGTTAACACTGCAAATGTGAGAGGGCAAAACTGACCTACTCAGCAACAGCAAAAGGTTTCACATGACCTACAAGCCTTTCCCTGGGAAACATTTGAGCTGAAGTAGACATTTGTGCCAACTTCTGAGCTATCTGTACTTCACCTAAACCTCTAGGAATGGGCACTTTGAAGGCCAGTGCAACCCAGGCCTGTGCAACCCTGGAATATTGACCCAACCAAATCATCTGTGAACATGGACACTGGGAATGCAGAACTGTAACTCAAGGTGCTTAATAAGACACACCAACCAACCCCAAGTGAGGCTGCCAGGTGGCAGAGACACCCAAACCAGCACCCACCAACAGCCACTGAACAGAGGGAGCTTCTGTGTCACCAGCCACACCTAACTTGGGATCCCCCATGGGCAGTTCTGCATCTTCATGTTATTATGAAAAGGAGATTTTTCCCATTTAGACCAAACCCTCCTGGATTCTCTCCTTGTAGCCACCATCCCCAGGGGCAAATTAACTAACAGACACATTCTGGGGCCTTCTCACACTTCAGCTTTTCTCAGCAGAAGATGCCCACACACAGAACATCAATAACCTCTTTGGCCTTTTTTTTATTAGTCTGAGTTTCCTCAGTTTCTTCAAGGAATTTCCCATGTCTAGTTTCCCTCCAGTGCTAGCAACAAGCAGCCTAACATGGCTGGGAGCATCATACTGCACCACAGGGAAAGCTGAACCCCACTGTGTCCATGTGGATTGCACCCAAACATGGACTCAGTCACCTATTTTCCCCCCACAGAACAGAGGCCTGGGTCCCACAACACTTCAAACATTCTGCTGTGCAAAACTTGGTTGCACACTCACCCATGTTTGCAGGACACAACTGAGCACACACACTATAAAAACTTATTGCTCTTCCCACAGCCCAGGATGAGCTCTGAGCCCACCTCACTTACATTTGGTTGTGTGTTCCAGAGTCTGGCACCCTGAAAACGAGCTGAGATACAGATGAGATGTGGCTCAGCTTCCTCAGGAGTCTCCTGGCTGCAAATCCCCAGGCCTGCAGTCTGAATCCCTGCAGATGCCCAGACCTGCAGCCCGAGCCCTGCACAGCCAGGGACTCCGGACAGATGAGACAAGTTTCTCCCCACCTGAACTCTGTTACATTCTCTGAGGAGAGCAGGATCATCAGCCTCAAGGAGCAACACCTGCAGCTCCTGAAGGATGATTGCAGTTCAGCTCTTCCCCTGACTTTTGCTCCTGTCTGACACGGTGCCAGCTACATTCCTTTGTCACCAGCTGGACGTTGCAGTCCAGGTACAATCAGCAGCTCTGGGAAAGTCCTGCCCATCTATCAGGACAGTTTCTGTTGGGAGACACTGCAGAGCAGCTCCATCCACCCTGCTACACACAGCTGCTCAGACCAAGGCATTGTTAGCAAAGGGCCTGGCCCTCCCACCACGAGGACAGACAGGCAAAGGGAGCAGAAACACACCTGGACCCATGCAGAAAGCCACAGTGTGCATCTTCACACACAGGGACCCCAGTGGAGCTGCAGAGTCTTCACCAAGCCACAGACAGAGTGCCCAGTTTTTCAGGCAAAGTCAGAGAAGTCAAATTCTGCTCCAAACACTCAGGGTTTCCAGTTCTTACATGAGGTTCCATCTCTGCAATAAATTCCACTCCTCACTGCCTCAAACTACCTGCCTTGGATGGCAGAAACATTCAGAAAGTGGTTCCCAAGCAGCCAGTGCCTGTTGATCCTTGAGGAACAGACCCCATAAGCAAGGGAGCTAGAAAGCAGTGGT